ATCTTTTTTGGCGCTCTCCGCTCCAGTAACACATGCTGCAGATCTGAAGTCCCGCTTACAATACCTCGAAGGAGGGGAGATAAGGGGAGGAAATGCCTCTCGGCATACCACACACGGCACTCCCACCCTGCTCCTTTTCCACGCCACTTCTGCCATTGTTCGCTGAAAGATGAACAAATATTTTCCAAATCATACTTGAAGTAGAAATGAGGACCTAATTCTGCAGGTTTATTAAAGCAAAGAAACCTTATTTCAGCGTTTCCCTGTTTACTCAAAAAAAGTTGGAAGCTTTCTTGTTGGTATGAGGACTGCACCTTGGAAAGAGCAACAGGACATTGATTTATAAGGAGAGGAGAAGCATGGCTTGCTCTCCTTGCCCATGTTTCAAGCTTTCCTGCATGCACCTCATCCTCCAGCAGCTCCTCTGCTCTCACAAACAGAACAAAAAGAGAGATTTGAATGGCTTACAGAGGGGAACAAAATGGAGAGGGGAGATCCACGAACACCAAGAGACATCTTCTGGAAGTACCAGACATCAGCATCTCCTCAACCCAAACAGCAGATGAATCTCTAAAGGAGCAGAGAGGTCACCCTGAGAGGTCTTCCTGAGGGAGACAGAGCTCAGCTTCTCCCAGACTTAGGTACAAGTCCTCTCACACCCTCCACGGACCCCAGAGCCTCAGAAAGATTTCGGCTTTGTCACTCTGCCTGCCTGTTTTCCAATGACCTAGTTTCTTCTCTGTACCAAAAAAAGGCACATTGACTCCTCACTGCACAAACTGGTCAGTCTAACTATAGCACGGTTTCAGGTCCCACCATTTGTTTACCTGCAAAGTGACAGAGAAGCTGGCTGTGTGGGTGTCTGTGGTTTGCAAGGCATCACATTTTGGTTTCCGTTTTATTTAAAGGAGAAGAAAAAAAAAAAAAAAAGGTGCCATTCCTCATGTTTGACCGAGCTGAGTTTCCATGAGCTCAGCAGATCTGCCTGCCGCCGTGCCGAGCACATCCTGCCAGACACACGCGGCCCCCGGCCCCGCAGGGACAACGGGCGACTGTTTCAGGGGCCAAAATGATGGCGAAACGCTCGCTATTTTATCGCACTCGTGCCATCGCCATGCTCTCAGCACTGTGGCAGAGAAAGACCCACTCCAACTGTGTCAAAGAGCAGGACCTACAAAGGGCATGCAAGTGTTGGCAAACACAATAGTTTTTTTTGAAAAGAAAAGTTTGCATTTCCTGTACATTGTGTCTCACCTTAGTACAAGATTCGTCTCACTAAGCTCAAAAGGACTTTCAGGGCACTGGTGACTCATTTGCAATACCAGAAGAGACGGTGATGCTGTCAAGTGAGGGTTTACCTAGCCAGTGGTTGCAACAAGGTGCCTACCCCGTACCGCCAGCCCTGCCTGGAGGGGTCCTTTGTCCCCTACACACACCCTTCTTCCCATGCCATGTTTAGAGGTTGGCACTTGCATCCCGCAAAGGAGAAAACCAAGTACACTTATTTTCCTGTTCCAGCAGACGCTCAGAGCTGCTCCCCTCGACCTTCCTACAAACAACTCAACTTGCAGACACTTTGCCGTAATACTGCTGAGGTTGAAGCTGGATCCATTAAAACAGCTACATTGCTGAGTGATGCTGGAGAGCCTCCTCATCTCCCTACCAGACAATGAAGCTGGAGACCTGCAAATCCTCCATCACATCTCCCCAAGGCACTACTTAAAGCACAGCATGACACTGAAGCAGAACACAAACACATATGAGAGTCCTTCACTCAAGTGTCATCAATTGACTTCGGGCTTATTCCACTTAAAAAAACCCAACAAACACACACAAACCATGGAAGAGCAACCCTTGAGTGGGACATCTTGAAATTAAATAGAAGAGTTCGCCAGTTGCTCAACTAAGTTGTGCATTTTTCAAGCAAAGGTAAAATTCAAGACCCAGGTATGTCAGCAGCCACTTCTGAAGTCAAGGAGATCATTCTCATTCACTGGATTGCTTGTGGGGAGGTACCTGCAGGATTGGGCCCAGACGATTAGGTGAAGCGCCTGCATTTGCAGCATAAAGTCAAGTCAGTGGCACGAAGAGTGACAGAAATAGCCCTCTCCTCCCCACCCCAAGCTAATCTTCTCTCAGCTGGAACTGGAAACCAAGCAGGAAAGCCTATAGCAGGGATCTGAGCACGTAAGCAGCCTGCAAAGGAGGTGGCTGCCCGATTTATTTATTTCATTAAGGGTCAACTCCTGCACCATGGCAAGGTGAGGAATTGCCAAATTTACTCCTTCTGCTTCCTACAAGGGCCAAGGCCGATCTGTGCTATTCCTGCCCCACAAAACGATAGATGCCCAGTCCATTGCAGCCCTTTTGCTGAACCCATCCTCTAGCAACGAGCACCAATGAAGAATTCACTGACTTCTCTTTCAGGCATCACCTTCAGGATTGTGACACAAAGCAGCCAAAGACACGCGTTCTGTATTGCTGTTTCTGCTGTTGGCCAGCATCTCCCCAAGGTCTGGAGGACGCAGCAGAGCAGGTCTTCATCACTTGCTCCTCGATGAGGGGAAGAGC